TTTTTCGTAGGTTAAATATAACTGTCAACTAAAAAAAAAAAAAAAAAAAAAAAAAAAAAAACTTGCTATCTTAGACAAATCCCTCTCTTTTTAACAATTTCTTGCAAATATTTGCAATAAAATACTAAATTTTAACAAAGAACATAGTTTAATCTAGTATACTAAACTGGCTTAAAAACAGTAAAACTGAATGCATACATTCAAACTGAATGACATATATCGAAATTAGCTTCAAAATTTTCAGAGGTAATTTACAAAAAAAAAAAAAATAAATATCAAAATGTTAAAACGGTTTTGTCACACTTTGCTGTACTGAAGACAGCTGCTCAATGTTTCAGCAAATTTGCAATCCATGTTCAAGTTTTTTTTTTTTTTTTTTTTTTTTTTTTTTTTAAGTAAATCAAAGTTAAGCCATGATTAATACAGTACAGAGTCCATGATCCAGACCCACTAGGACTTTTGGTAATTCCAGATTTCGCATCAACAGTTTAAATCTAATAATATTACATGTAGAAATTATGAAATGAAAAATATGAAATAATACAGCATTTATGACCTAAAGGAAACCAAAATTCACACACACACACACACACACACACACAAAAACAAAACAAAAAAAAAAAAAAAACCTCATTTATTTGTTTGCTTTATTAGACATTTCTTTCAATGTCAGTTGTTAAAGCTGCTTTCTTTTTATGTTCATACTTTCTCTTTAATTGTATAAACAGAAATAATTTCAAAGCTCTATCTTGTTTGTTTCTTTTCCTATTAATTGCATTGCTTTCTTGATATGCATTGTGATAGCTGTCGGATTTCAGATGGCATGTAGTCCTGCAAATGGCATATCACAAATTCCTATTAAATTTTCAATCAAATTTTTTTCATTCTCAACAACTTTTCTCTCATCTTCTTCACTATCAGTAGGAACATATTCTGAATATAGAATCATAACATAGATTTCATCGTTCGTTAGTTCATTGATTATTGGGGCATTGTCATTGCAATGCAATACCTCTGTCACATCATCTTCATTTATTACTTTTCACAAGTTCTATTCATTGGAAATTTTTTTTTTTTTTTTTTTTCCCATATTTGTAAACTTTTAAATTTGTGGCTATCAACATTATCTTAGCTAGCATCCACTATATACTACTAGCTATGTATCTTGAGATTACCCACTATGTTGTTCTGCTAAATTTTGTCTTGCTTCTATTGCTTCCTGAGGATGTTAAGCTTGAAATATTTCAATTATTTGTTATATATGTCTACTTCCTGCATGTGCTCAAAGCTTACTTTAATCATGAATAAATAAATTCCCACATATTCTTAAGGATTATCAGAACAACAACTCACCTAACCAAATAATTTAAATTTAATCCTTTGGCCTATGGATATTGAGATGGCCAGTCAACCGGAGATTTAATGTGTTGGCCTTATTGCTGTTTAGCTCCTTGCAGTTCTGATGCAGAAAACTATATGGAGATGGATCTGAAAGTAACCTAACCCTCTTTCCTACCACCCCTTTGCCTCAAAAATATTTTGTGTCCCTATGTTGCAAAAGAGTACACAATTACAAACATCTATGCCTACTCCAAGAATTCTGAACCTAAGCCCAAAGTTATGGCAGTCGGCTTCCCTACCAACAGCTTTGTAAGAAATTGCTAAATGGAGGCACTGGCATACAATTGGGTAATATAATGGCATAGTGGTTCCTATCAAATTGCATTGCTTTCTTGATATGCATTGTGACAGCTGTCAGATTTCAGACGGCATGTAGTTTATATTTTATACGTACTTTTATTTTATTTTATTTATTTAACATTTTCGGCCCACTAATTATTATTGTTACTTTTGTTTCTAGGAAGTGGCAACACAAGAACTTCTGGAATTAGTGAAAATATGTGCGTTTAGTACATTAAAGGAACGTTTTGTTATTAACATGAGTGATATATTTATTTAAGATCCAAAGTTATTTTCAACAATAGTACTTTAGAATATGCTTAATCGTCTCTGGAGTTCACGATACACTTGTGGCATAATAGTTTATTTCGACATGTAAGTGAACATTTTCCATAGCCCTCAATGGGACAGAATACACATTTGTTTGGATTGGATTGGATTATTCAAAGCACACGATGGCTATCTGCCTAAAGGGAGGGATGCCTTCATGGAAGACTTTCTAAGGGGAACTGGCTCGTATACACGTTACACATGGGGAAAACCACGAAAATGCCCATACAGCCAGCCTGTTCGTGGGATTCGAACCTTGAACCGAGCTACCAGTGTTCAGCGTCTTTACCGCTCCGCCGCTGGTGCGCCCCCCACACACTTTAAATTAAATAGAATAGGCCCGGTAAGGGGGCCTAATTCTTTGTAAATATAGGTTCTAATACATCATTTTATTCAAGAAGAAAAGCTCATAACGATTTTATTTTTTGATATACCTCAAAGTTCTTATTTGTATCAAAACTTTAAAAACTCAAATATTTGCCCCTCCCTTTTTTTCCCTTCCAAAGATAAATGTTTTGCATCTAAAACTGGTCTTAGAAATATTTCCCTCCTTTTATTAGCTGTGAAGACTAAACCATGTACTTGTATCCTAACCCAGGGGAAAAATTTTTTTTTGTATTCCTTAGTCTCTTATCTGGAATTAACAAAGACCTAAAGAAGAAACTGCTTTCAAATCAGCAGTTTTTCCATTGCACTAAGAAATGGACCTAAAGTGCATTTCAATTTCCTGTACTTTTAGAGCTTTCCCTTTGTTATCACAGTCTTTTTGTGAAGATGACATGACCCCTGCGTGACAAATTAGTTGTCTGTCACCTCTTTTCATTTTCACTGCATTCTAGGATTTTGAAAAACACGAAACAATGGGTGTGTTTGGAGCCTAACAATGGCACATTTAACCCTTACAGTTGTGTACTTGAGTAATGAAGGAGAAGCCTGGTACTGCCATCTATTGGCAAGGTACCCTCAGTAGGGGCATCGGTATATATTATATACAGGCATTAAAAATGTATACATAATCTTTTAATTAGAAGTTTTAATTGAAATGCAGTAAATATAAAAGATTCAGCGCGTGTGCATCATATATTTGAAGATTGTGAATTTTTTCCTACCCTCCAATGGAATTTATGAATATTCAAACATGATACCCTTGAGAGAGGTACATTAATTTCATAACTGCAAAAATATTGAGCATTCATAGGGTAGTGCTGCCATTTAGAATCAAAAGAAAACAGTAGAAACTTATGATTACAGCTTTTGGTGTAGAAAAATTAGCAAATTTTAGGAGGTTAAAAAATTGACAAACATCTGGTATATCTTCAAAGGGTTAAACTCAATAAGAAGATTCACAGAGTTGAATTGATAAAATCCTTCAACATTTTAGAAGTAATCATAAAACAAAGTGAGATAGATTCTTCCGAGTTACAGGCAGAGTTTAATGTCTTTGTTTTGACAGATAAATATTTGGAAGATACGCACATACATTTTATCAGTACACTGACCAAAAATGACACTGAAGCAGAGTTTGATGTTATTGAAGATTATCAAGAAAAGGCATTCAGAATCGAAACTAAAAAAAAAGCTATTTTGCAGAATCTACAAAATATAAGTACTTCAAATTTAATTTTGAATGAATCCATTAATGAGAATACACATAAACATACATTTAAACTTCCGAAGCTTGAATACTGAATATTTGAACTTTAATTCAGTTCTTTTATCTTTTCCTTTTAATTTTAAAACTTTTGTGCTTATTTTCAAAAGTTTTTGCTTTAAAATTTATGGTAGGTTATGTTGTTCACCAACAACTTAAGGGGGCATGTTGGATTTCAGATGGCATGTACTTTGTATTTTATATGTACTTTCATTTAATTTTATTTACTTCATGCTTTTTGAACACTAATAATTATTCTTAGTTTTGTTTCTTGGAAGTGGAAACAAAACAAATTATGGAATTAGAGAAAATATGTGAATGTAGTAAGTAGGCTCATTAAGAGAATGTTTTGTTATTTGCGTGAGTGATGCATTTATTTAAAATCTAAACTTACTTTCCACAATAATATTTTAGAATATGTTTAATAGTTCTGTGACATGATGGTAGCATACTAGCTTATTTTGATGCATAAGCAAGACATACTTCAAGACCAAAATGTAATACGCACTATGGACAGCAGTGTTCAGATAAAGAGTACGGTGAATGATTACAAATTTATAATAAAATTAATTGACATCATTCTTTCCAGCTGTTTCAAATAAGCACGTTCTTCTCAAAGGAGTCAATATATTTCCATACTTGTTGAAGACTTAATAAAGGAGTCAAAATGATGGACCTAAGTTTCATTAACTGTTGATAGGCTTCTTTTAAATAAGGCAATGCACAAGAAGATTGTACACAATTCTCTTGCTTTCTCATTATGAAAGCACTTCTTTTCAGCTATTTGCTTCCATGCATGATTCTGGTTAATTATTTGTTCACATATTTATTCTCTGGCATGGGGTAATGAGAGACCCAACTAACACATACCAAGTTAAGATAATACTACTTATGCAAAATATAATATAATGTACATTTTAACAGCATTTCAGTTTCATCAGGCTTGGAAAATATTCTGAATTCAGTCTCTTTTTGAAGTGACAGGGACATATGAAAACATTTTATTTCACCAAAACATCTGTCTTTGGCCACTCATTTAAAAAACCAATTAATTCAGCAGTTTTCTCCAAAACAGAGAAATTTTATCACACCATGCAATCCATTTCTTAACTCTGAAACACTTAGCTCTATTACTATATGTAAAACAGTAAGATTCTTTAGGTAACTGCTCAGTTGCAAAAGTGATATAATTTACCACAGATTCTTCTTGAATCCAATCAAATGCAGTTTTATTTTTTACTTTTGCATTGTTACCAACTTGAGAAAAAGCCCATACATGAGTACTTTAATTAAAAAAATATGAAAAATTACATTCAAAAACCAAAACTGCAAATCTTACCTATATAACTGAGAGGAAGCTGTTGAACAATATGAATTAGGCATTTCCAATGTTTGATTAGTACTTTCATTTGGAACCATTGGGCGTACTTGCCGTATTTGCGGAGCTACAGGAAGACCAACATTTTCATTTCTTTTCATATTAGTTGTAGTTGATAACAAATTTTGCCTAGAGTAGCTTCGAAAATTATCCCAAAAATTATTGGCTCTGGTTCGAGGGGGCACCTATAATATATATAATTAAATACTTTAGTAGTAATTTTAACGAGAAAATGATCCCAAAGTATAAATTCAAGAAAAAAGTAAAAATATTACATTTAGCACGAGTAGCTCAAGAGGGAAAAGAAACTGGTTTCCACAGATTACAACAATAATCAAACTTACTTAGAAATGATGTGGCAGCAAAACTGATTTAAGAAGGAGTGCCAAAAGTATATGTGTAATACCAAATTAGATCTCTCTCTCAAAAACAGCATATAAGCACTCTTACTAGCTCAAAATATATACAGTACAAAGTTCTAAATCCAGATTCATCGGGACTTCGGGATTTGGTATTTTTCCGGATATTAGATTATCAGCTTAAATCTAGTAAGATGGCATGTAGAAATTATAAGATTAAAAATAAGAAATCGTGATTTATGAAATAATGAAGTAGTTATGATCTAAAGGGCATCAAAATTTACAAATAAAAGCTTCATATTTATTTGTTTACCTTATTAAATAAACATTTCTTTCAATGTAAGTTATTCTTTTTTTTTTTTTTTTTTTTTTTTAATATCTTTCTCTTTAAGTCTGTAGACCGACATTTCTTGTTCAGTTGCATTGTTGGAAGTCCTGTACCTGCTGTTTCGAGAATTCTGACTAACTTGTCAATCAAAATTTTCTCCTTTTCAGTAACTTCTCTGTCAATTTCTTCACTATCAGTAGCAGCATTTTCTGGATCCATTCCAGCACTAGATATCTTACTGCTTGATGCAGTCTCTGTGCATCCTAAATTCTGCAACTCCATGCAGCCATATGAGCCTTGGCACTGGTTCTGGGTTTATGTGAATAACAAATAATTTATTTTTAATTCAAATAGCCTTAAATGTAATTTTCGAGTCTATAAGTATCATCAACAAAATCTATTTTTAGCATACGAATAGAAATTTTTGGTAAATTTCTCTTCGTCATCATTTGTTAGCACATTTAACTTAAATCTGTAATGTCAATATAAAAGGTTACCATACTCCTCTGTTATTCAGTTACTAACATAAAAAAATCGTTTAGGCATCACTATAAGAGTCATTAATCAAGTTGTCATGTTTTGATAAACATGCGGTGATGAAAGGAAAGCATAATAAATACTGATTCGCCAGGTTGGCATCAGATCAACAATGTATTCATGTGGAATGTTTTGGTTTGAGATGTGTGCCAAAAACCAGATGCGCACAACAGAGCCAAATTACTGATCATACAAATTTACGCTAAAATGTCTGTTTCTTCAATAACAAGATATTTTATTTAGTGTCCAAGTGAAATTAAGAATCGGGACTCTCCATATGCTTTATTATGCACGGAAGGGGGGAATCAAATGCGCATGTGTAAAGCCTAGGAGAAAAATGTTAGTGGTTTTGAGGTCCGGATTTTAGATCATTCTGAATAATGGACGTCCGAATTTTGGACTTTGTACTGTAATACTTGAAGATAGCAATATTCTGATACGTACAATTTAAAAATTAAACATTTATATAGATTTACATATTATTTACTTTAACACTTTTAGAATAAGAACTAGGCATTAGTAGCAACTCTCTAAAGTTCTTTTTAATAAGTACATTTGAATACTGTACTAATCTCAGTGCATGGTTATACAAAGATACCTGATTATTCAAAGTTTCTTGAGCAGCTCTATTGTCTTGACTAGCAGGATGAATAACAGCGCGAACTGGCCGTGTCCCTGAGACATTGCTATTAAGAGGTGGATGAGGCTTCACAGGTAACTGAAGATAAGAGGCAGGAGATAATGGTGAAGCCTGGTCGCCTAGATACAAGTTGGACGGCAGAAGTGGATTTGACCATGTAGACATGCACCATGGACGGAATGCCATATCTTCAGAACTACCACTATGAGAGTTCAGATTATTTGTTTGATGAGCTACCTCTGAATCCATGCTCTAAAAGAAGAAATTTAAAAAAAAATCATTTCCATAAGGAGGGTAAATACTTTATTTCTATATGAATAATTAATGACATTCCATGTCCAAAATTTTGGTGCTAACTTCAATAATTAATGATAAATTTCATAAATATTGTTTATTAATTTTCTGGATAGATGCCATTTTTTATTGGTTATGCCTACAACTTAGGGAAAATTATAATTTTTTCCCTCCAGAACATTGGTTACATTGGTTTGATATACTAGCACTTTCATATCTGAGCAAATATAGTATGATAAACAAAATTTTACAAAGTGGCATATAGCAGAATATTTTCAAAATAATTTTTCATAGTAGAAAATTACCACTTACCACATAAAAAGAAAAACTGAAACAAACAGAATTTATTTGCACAACTTTTGCTGCTTTAGCAAAGTAGTTTTTGTCTCCTTTGCTAAAGTAAGATTAAAAAATTGTCCTTCATAACACTTATTATTCTACTTAAATTTGACAATAACAATAGTTTTCTCAGCTACTCAAGCATCAAGTCATATGAAAATTATAAAACATGAGAATGGGAAATGAAAATGTTTCTATTTCCAGATGTTTTAAAAAATAATTTTAGTACTGCATTTATACTTATAGAGTTCATACTTTTTAATGCAAAACTTTAGAGCACAGCTTGTACTTGACATACACAATTTTAATGCAATTTATTATTATTTATTCTTAAACAAATATTTCACAATAAGTGTTAACACTCACTTGGTTCCTTTGTTCGAATGTGCAATATTTTTTAATATTTGCATCTCTACTCATCCCTTAGTAAAATTCTAATATTCCCCCCAACTACACAGTTTCAGAAACAGGATACAACTTATACACACATGTAGCCTACACATATGTAAATATGATGCATATTTTATGATATAACAAAAACATTATCACTTGTATTTTTAAATCAACATTAAATTCATAAATCATCAAAACCAACTTGGTTTCAAAACACTTACAATGTTGATTAACTTTTTCAGACAATGAAAGAAAGAACTATGGTTCCAAAAACAGGTTGATTTTTATGTAATAAAGGCTATTTCAGCCAATATCCTAGATGTCTCACATACCAGGCATAAAATACAAATATGGTGGTAAATTGCTATATTGGCCCAATTTTTTGGCATTTCTGAAAAGGAATACAACAACAATAAAAAGAGCATAGCAGCATATATCCCACATTACAGGACACAGACATTTTTTATAATCAACATCTGTAAAAACATGTCTCTTTTCCTATAGCATGGGACATATGCTGCTTATTATAAACATTTCATACTTTTTACAGCATTTTAAGACACTCTCAAAATTCAATAAATTACAAGACTAAATTTTAAGTCATTTATATGTAAAAACAACAAAAAAAGATAAATACTCATACAAAAGTGTCATTTTAAACTCTTTTCTTACACAATATTTTAAGGCACTCTCAAAAATTATTAGAATACAATACTAAAAAAATACAAAAGAAAATAGAAATATTTATAAAAAACAAGATAATCGAAAAATAAAAAAAGAAACTAAAACTAAAAAATTAATAAATATACTGCACTTTCAAGACCTCTGTCATAATCCCCCCTGCTAGGAGGAACAGGAATTAATAACAAAAGTCTTCAGTGAAATGAAATATATTTTAGAGTTTTAAGTTTCATTTTGACAGACAGAGGGCAGTGCAAGTTCTTTAAAAGCATTTGGGTTCATTAAAGCTTTGATTTTTATCAAATTTAAACAAAAAACACAAATAATTATATTATTTAAAAAGTAACACAAAAATATAACATTTATAAAGTACAAGGAAATATATGTTAAAAATTGCAATGTTAGGTTCATTAAAAAAAAAAATTTGGTAGGGCCTAGTGGACTGTTGTGAAAATAGTCTCCTTCCAAGTGAAAGTCTGAAAGTTCTATCCCCAAGTGATTCTGCATGTGTCACTAAGACCAGTCGTAAAAATAATCTCCTTCCAAGTGAATGTCTCAAGTTCTACCCCCCAAGCGATTCTGTATGTGTCGTTAAATACTGTTAAATTATAATAGAATATATTATAATGATATATGCATAATAATGATAGAATGCACTAATAATCTGATTTGTTAGCAGTTGAAGATATACAAAATGAAGGATGAATTTGAAGAAAGACACTTCTCCCCCCCCTAAAAAAAATAATGAGAACAGGGAATCAGACAGCCAAAAGAAAAGCCATGAAAGATACAAGATTTAAAATTAAAAATAAAATAAAAAAGACTATTTGGGAGGCGGCTTTTGCAATGGTGGAATTAAAAACTGGAGGGGCTTTTGCAGAGGCAGAATACAGACGTACTTTTTTTTAAATCTATGTAAAATTCATTATGATGATAATTTTACAGTTTCTATTATAGTAATGTCTCCTGTTGCTGTATTTAAATTATATTTCTTTTTCTCTAATAAAATTAAGTAAAATTCCATATTCCTTTTTATAACTGTATCTTGAGGTCCAATGAAAATTTATTTCAATATCATTGATCGGAGTATAAACTTTTATGATTAGGGAAATCATAACAGAAAATAGGACAGAGCTTTTCAAATTTTAAAAGATTATTATACATCCTGTTTCAGGATTAATATAATTCAATCCTGCTTTTAAAGATACGCATATATAATATTGTTATAATATTTTTTAGCAAAATCCATTTTACAATTTGTAATATGAAATTCCTTTTCAATAACCATTAAATAACAATTAAGCATATCTGAATTACCATATATATTATTTTTTGTTACTTTATTTTATCTTTCAACATACTAAGGAAGAATACATAAGCTTAAAACATCATCTGAAGTCTATGTTATTTTACATATGCAGGAGGAAGATGAAAACAGAGGGGATATTAGTATTCTGAATTGATTCAATTTTTATTTCGTTTTTCATTTAAAATTCTTCAAATGCAATAATCTTTGCTTCATTTTTTAATCTATAAGGCTTCAACATCAGTTTTAACCCATTAGCCGCTGGTGTTGCGTTGACGCAACGGTCAAAATAAATGTGCATATAAATATAACTACCTAAGATATTTTATACCAACAGATGATTTTGTGCAGGGAATATTATGAAGATTATTTCTGTAAAAAAATATTTGCCTTCGGCAATCATTTTGGTTATAATAATTAATCTTATACTTTAAGCAAAATTTTCGACCAGGTATTTTTGCTGAAAATATTTCATGAACGAATCGCCATCTTTATGAGTGATCTATTTTTATTCAAGGTCACCGTTTATCAGAACATTACATCAGTCAGATGTTTATATTTGTATTGGGAAGGAAGGGAAAACAGGTTTTGTGCTGACGCAACGTCAGTAGGAAACAGGTATTAGTCTAATTCCTTTCTCACTCATTTCCTTTCGATGTTCTGGCTGCTTTAAAAATGTCTAGAACGAGGCTATCTTACATCATAAAAAAAGCCCTTCAAAGATTTTTTGATGAAGAAAACAGATGATAATAATGTTAATAATGACCAGAAAGGAAATGGATAATGTTGTAAATAATAATCCCCCATGAAATTTTACCAAAAGATAGTGATGAAGGAATGTTAAGGGAATTGACACATAAGAATTTTTAAAGTTTCAGCCTTCTAAAAGCAGTTATAGTCAAACTGAAAAAGTTTAAAAAGCAGAAAAGACTGAAAACTTGAAAGTGGATAAAAAAGGAGGGAACTGTTAGTTATGTCTCAGGAAGAACATGAAGAAAGAGATAGAAGAGAAATTATAAAAGACAAAACACAAGTAAAACTAGTGCACAGATTTTTGATTTTCTTTTTGGTTTAGACATTTACTCTCTTCTCGGTTGAACAGACAAATATATACGCTCAGCAAAAAAAAAAAAAAAAAAAAAAAAAAAAAAAAAAAAAAAAAAAAACCCCACCCCACAGAATTATTATAACTTCTCATATAGGCATCTGAAGCGTATATGAGAAGATTTATTGGAATATTATTGCTTACAGGATATCATTCTTTACCTCAAGAAAAAATGTATTGGTCTTTTGATAAGGACATTTCTGTTCCTGTTGTACAAAAATTCATATCCCGTTTGCAGTACAGGAATATGAAGCAGAATTCGCATTTGACAATAGTCAAATTGACAATACTGATAAATTATATGAGGTGAGACCATATCTAAACTTACTAAATATCACCACTTTTTACTACTGAAAATATAAAGTCTCTAGATTTCAGATGCGATTTTAGATTTCAGACGCGAGAATGCATTATTCCTTTTGCAAACTCCTAATGAGAGTGTAGAATTAGCCAGAAATCGATCAGCAACAGGAAGACCTAGTAAATTCAGCATTCAAAAACCATTGCATGGAGACGGTAGACATTTTGTCGTAAAGTCCGTTGATAACAAAAGACTTTGTTGTAAAGAGTACCATAGCCAGACTGTTTATAGATGCAAAGTATGTAATGTAGCTTTACATCATGATTGTAATCAAGCTTTTCATGCTTGAAAATTTCAAATGAAACAATCTGTATTTGTAAAAGAAATGCAATGTATATTTTAATATTAAATTAATTACAAGTAAAGTGATTTGTAGATTTATGAAACGTTATACAGCTAAAATGTAATCCTACGCTCCACTCAAAAGTAACATCACACGAATACAATCCTACTCACTAAACATCCGTACTCTTATTCCACTAACGTTGCGCAAAAGCAACACTTGCTTTTTCCACAGGTAAGAGCATTCCTTTTATTTTCAATGTAAATTTATGTTATAAATGCTTAATTTAATATTTGTTATTATTTTCATGAGAAAAGAAACATTCCTTGTAGTTTTGGCGAATAATGGGTTAAATCTTCACCAACTACTTTACAATTATATTTTCATCAGTATATATTAAATTTTCACTTCTATTTCTTTGAAATTGATATTGAATTTCAAAATTTGCAATATATTTTTTATATTCTCTGAACAAAGAAAATATGCATTT